CATGTCGATTCCTTGCACCTAGGGGACTAGATATTAACTACATGGAATTGCGACCTCGAATGTGTGAGGCACATTCGTACTGAGGTGTGTGGGAGTGGAGAGGCCATCTGTTTGTAAATCACCATTTACCTTCGACAACTACCATGGTTACCACACCCCCCCACCCGTTTTTTCACTTGATCCATTGGATTGAGAATCCGACGACCACGCTCTCTTCTTCCATCCGCAGTTAGTCACACTTGCGAGAATAGAGGCTCCCATGTCCCGGAATGAAAAATATAAACTCTTTTCTCTAGCACAAAGAACAATAAGGCGAGGACGGGATCCTTTGTCTTGTCTTTCTTGTGTGAACGCACTGAAGTCTGGCTTTCGGCTTCGCCCACTTTGTCGCCTGAGGTTGCCTGGAAGTCCAGGGGGGAAAGGGGTCAATTGATACAGCGAAACAGAGAACTCTAAGCAAGTAGAGTTAGTTAGGTGTGTAATGCCCAACCATTTCGTGGGGTTCGGAAGGCACTTCAGTAAGGCTGTGCAAATCAGATTGAAGTTTTGACCCCCATGATCCAATCCATTTGATGATGCTAGAAGTCGTTTTGATTTACGATTTTACCTTGTGTCTATTTTATTTCCTATTTTGGGGGCGACCGTTTGAGTCACTGTATGAACTGCTCATTTGTACAATCAATATACAAATAAATGAGACGTCATAGAAGTCCACAACGAGACAGACATTCATCACCGGACCAGCAGTGAAGATACTCGAAGTGGGGTAAGGGGTTCTAGACAGAGAAAAATACAAGCAGCTTTTCCAGGGGGGGGGGTGTGGGTGGGTGGGGGTGAAGAACCTCTTTGTTTTTTATATTGCGGCAGTAATGCTGCCACTCCTTGCGGTGGGAGTGGGGGAGGAAAATCTCCCAATTTGGGGAGTGTAAGTTGCTTTCTTAGCAGCTAACACTGTGCGGAGATTGGAAATTTTATTGTTCTTTGTGCTGTTTTTTGTTTTTTGTTTTTTTTTTACTTTTTTTTTTTCGCACCCCAACACACATGCCCCATCTATTCTATGGGACGACAGTCTGGCTGCTCGTCACCGGCAAGCAAAATGCTTGGAACAGAACAAGCATTTGGAGAAAGTCAGCAAAGGAGGTCTCTTTGTGTTGTATTACAATTGCTGTTTTGTACTTTGTTTTGATTTCTAGTGAGTGCCATCATGCCGGTAGTAGCGAGTAACAGCATCTGTTCATGGCGGCACAGTTTTGCTCAATCCGTCCGTCTGTTTCTGGTTGTTTCATTTGTCGGTCTGGATCAGGTATGCGAGTCTTGTGTGGCAAAGTCGACCTTATTCCAGCATGGTGACGGATCTGCATTGTCAGGCCTACGGAGCGAGCACCGTTGTTAGTTCAGGAATAACAGGGATCTTACACGTGCTTGATGCCACAAATGGTGCATTTGTCCGGACGTTAGCAAGGCCAGAGCTGCATCACCGAAATATGGCTGTACCCAGTGGAGGTTCAAGGGTATCGCAGGGGGGGCGTTCTGCAGGTCGGAATGGAGTCCGAAGCACGGGAAGCACTGCCTGTGCCGACTCGGGCCTAACGAGAGATGCGTCGAGAGCTGGTTCTGGTGGGGATTGGCGTGGAATCGGTCAAGGTGGGAGCGGAGCGGAGGCTGGGTTGGCAAGAATGCAGCTGCCGTCGTGGGGTAGCATGGGCTCTGCATCTGGTGGAGGGCGAAGCCAGGGAGTTCCCACAGCGATTGCACCAATGGCTGTGGCAGAGGAGCCATCACTTGACGAGCAGGCAAGGAACATGCCACATGTGCCTGTGCTCTGTGTCAGAATTGGAATGAGCAAGGCCGTGACTGCGCATGTGGACCACACGTTGGGACTTTGGCATATTGGAAGACCTTAATGCGCATTGCGATTCCTTTTTCAAAAACTGTCACAAAGGTCTACAAAGCGAGGGGACGATCGAGGGAGCAATATTGAGCGAAAAGGGAGTCTGTAGCTAGGGCGGCCTTTGTCGCTTCTTCTTTGACACGTGATTTGATTTACTGCTGAGCAGTGTAAAGTTGATCGGTGAGTTTATAGGGAATTGTTATGTTCGCTTGTGCAGATGCTTGCCTGGGATGATTTTTTTTGTTTATAGTTTGGGCTTTTTTCACTCTTTCTCCCTCTCCTGTATTGTATGATCTTTTTAAGAATCTATGTCATTGTCTAATTCGTCCTTGCGACAAACTGTGACCGATGATGACTGTCTGATTCATTCTTTTGTCAGTCTGATTGGCTCTCAGGTGTTTGCCCAGGGGACATCAGGCAGATGCTGACCGTCCTCGGTTGTTCTTGGCCATTGGTCGATTTGCGGCCTTGGCCTGTTGTCCCAGTGCGGACCATTTGCTGTCCCGTCCCGCTTTTGGGTCAAAATTGCTGTCCGGCTCTTGGGTCCAAATTGCCTGATGCAGCTGGACGGAGAGGTTAAGGAAACTACGGGCAGAAAAATGGAGATGTTTGTTATGGCAGGTGGTGTAGTGATGTAGTAATGGCAGTGCCAGCTGTACACATCAGCACAGGGCACTGGTGCTCTGGTTTTGTGTTGGTTACTTCGTGTCGTGTGTTTGCTTGTTCAATTGGAATAGGCGCATGCATCATCTTTGTAGTGAGGTTGCCTTGATCTTTGTGATTGGAGTTCGTTGGATGGCTTGGGTATATTTACACAGGAAACTGGAGCGTGTGGGCTGGCGTCATTTCTTGTATACCCACTGGGAGGAGGTTGTTGGCTCTGGAGCAAAGGTGGGTACCTCCCTTTTTGGTATGTAGAACCGACTTGTGGACCACTGGTTCTTTCTGGATTTGGCCGCGACAAGCGGTGCTCTTTTATTCATTGGTTAACAAGGCACTTAGGAGAGTTTGTGATGGAAAGCAGTGCTCTTTTCCTTCTAGCAGTCGCTGTGTTGGACGTCGGAGGTGTCGAGGACCAGGGAATTGTTGAGTTGGTATTGACTTTGACTGAGGCAAGG